GGCCGCGCCGCGGCCTTCGGCCGCTTTCGGCTCCTGTAGCGGCTCTCGGGGAGCCGTCCTCCGGGTGGAGGGCCGCCGTGGCGGGAGGGTCCGGGCCCAGGGCCGGGCGCTCGCCCGGGTCTGCTGGGCAGTGCCCCGCGAGGACCGGCCTCGTCCCTTGTGCCTGCCGCACCGTTGGCAGGAGTAGGATGCCCAGCGATGGTGGGCACCGGGGAGGGTGGCTGCGGGCTTGCGGACGCAGCCCAAAGAGCGGCTTCAGTCTTCGTGTTTGAGCTCTGGTGCGTTTCCCGCTGCGAGCGGCCGGCCGGGGATACGTATCCTGGACAGCCGAGGTGCTGTCGGCGGTCTGCAGCACAGCTGCGCGGGACGCACGGGCCTCAAGTGAGCGGTCAGCGTGGCCGTGTGCTGTGGGCCTGTGGTGAATGAATGCGGAGGCTGCGTGAACAGAGCACCGCTGAAATTCGCCTTTGGAATCCACTTGTTTGTGATTAAAGATGACCAGGTCTTTCGGTGTGGGAAGGGCGATGAGCCTCCGGTTGGGGAGCAACCCGTTGTGTTCCAGCTCCATGTGGGAGGACCTGCTTTTGCACGTTGCAGTGTACCCTCTTGCAGAGTGAAATGCAAGATGTGCTCCCTGAAAATGAACAAGGTTAAGTTCAGTCTTCCAGTTAACATCTTCCAGTTGCCAGAATTTATATATTTTATAAACCCTTTTCAAAAACCCAGTCACTTGAGCCATTTCCAAGATTGTACTCTGTATTTGGCAGTGTTTGTTTTTCAGCATGTATACAATGTGTATAATGGGTGTACAGTTGTTTTAGGAAGATGTTTTCGTTTCAGCTTTGGAGCCATATTGAACTTAATTCTCTGCCTTTCCTAGTCACTGAAAGAAGGCAGAGAGAAGGTGAAGAGGCCTTTTCTTAGAATTGCGATCGTGAGTCTGGAAACAAGACAGAATTGCAGTTCCTTCTGTCTCAGAAACCAAATTTAATGTGATAAAAATATATGTGTTCATAATAAAAGCATACATGCATTATTTCTGTTTCATCCTTTAAAAATATTGTGTATTTTATCAAGCCTCATGACTTGTTAGCCTGTCATCTTAAACTTCATAGAAGAACTGACACCATCACTGAACTAAGCTAAGCCAGCTTCCTTCCAAGTCAAACTCCAAACACACTTTTAGGAAGACCACATGCAAACCCTTAGCACGCTGCAGCCTTGCTCCCTCCTTGTGCTTGCGAATCCTCTTGCTTTTTGGCTGTAAAGGATGGTGTGTTCTCGTATGGTCAGTGGAGCTGGCCATCGGATCACAACATCTGGAGCAGTTAAGCTGCTGATGGTCCCGATTTTAGTCGAAGGAACCAAACTGTTGCTTGAGTTTGTTGACTAAAGGTCTATATTTGTGCAGCCAAAGGTTATGAGCTGTATTCCAAATGTTGCATGCGACGAGCTCACAAGCAAAGTGCTTAGACCATAGCTGGCTGCAGGCCACTATAAGTATTTCTGTCTAATTTTCAGTGGTGTTTGTGTCTTGTTTTGGTTTGCAGCACTGATACAGAATAGCATTAAAGACATGTGGGTTGCATTGCTGAGCGAGACAGTATTTTTTGCATTGTAAATATTTGCAGATATGATAATATGGAAGAGGATCTAAGAGCACACAATACACTGGGACTAATATGTTCCAACAGTCTCTCTCAAAGCGCGCAGCAGGGATAAAAACTAATTTAATATTATGTCCTGGGTTGATGATCATGATTATTATGTTGTGGAATTAAGAGAGATACTGAAGAGGAAGCAAGGTCTGTTCAGCTCTTTAAAAAAATACTGTATCTTGGCAAGTCTAAGACCACCTGCACATTTCATTAAAAAAGAAAGCAATCCTTTGGATTCCAGTTTTCTGTTACCTCCAAGCAGGATAAACTAGTGATACTGCATACACAGAGCTTTAATATGGAGGCTTGGTATTGCTTCTGGCCAAAACAAACCTTTGCACTGTGCGCGATTTGAGATTATCTTTCTTCTTATAGGCTAAAGGAGGTTGGCCTATTTGTAATTGCTCTTACTGAAGACTGAGGTTGCTCTGGGAAGAAATCTATAGATGAAGGGCAGCACATACAAAAAAAGTGCCATTTAATGACTACCAAACCTAACCAGCCTGTACTTCCTGCTGAAGATATTAAGAATATAAATAACCTGCTTACAAGACATCCTCTTGTCCTGGTGGAAGGACGGGCATTGATGACTCAGCTGTCCAGTGTAACACTAATCAATTTTTTAAAGTGTCCTGGAGATGCCAGCCATATTTATAGCACTTGTAGTAGTATTTACTTAAAGTGTTTATTAATGCCATTACCTGTTAAGTCGTTTGAAGTTTGTCAGAATATCACACAGAGAGAGCTTGCAGATGCTTCCATTGTTCTCTTTGCCTCAGTTTCCCAATTTGCAGTATACAGGTAATACTGCCTAATTAGAAGAAGTCTGATATTTTGTTTCTGCTATTTTGGTTGTTTATGTGTACTTGGAGATCAAAAGTGGAGATGAAAAATGCTAAGTAATATTATTTACTGTATGGTGTCTAACTGAAACATCAATTGCTTGTTCTTATCTGTTATTGAACAAACATCTGTATGAATGCGCAATCTAGGAAAGTATGCCTAGTCTGTATACTCAGACTAAGCATCACTATACATGTTTTAACCTTTAAAATCTAAGGTTTAAAGAAAAGGCAGAACAGAACAGACAGCATAGTGTCAAATCATTTCAGTATGTAAACAACAGAACTCCATGGAATCAGTATCTTCTGATGTGGGTTTATAACCATAACATCAGACGACTTGAGATAAGTTTCCGGGCTCTTGTGGTTTTCATTATCAATCAAAATAAATGTGGAATTTCTAAACTTTGGTTTGCTTGTTAACCACCAAAATACAAAGAAAAATTGTACTTTACCATTCTGGGGAAACGGTAACAGCTTTTGGCTCTTTGATGGCCTGTCCAAAGGGATGTGTGCCATTAACTCTACCCTCCCCTTTCCTGTGTTGGCCTGTGCCTAAGCACAGGGAAGAGCATTTGATGATTTGGGCAGTATTCTCTCACCAAACAGGTGTTAACTGTCTGCTTTTGGGGTGTTTTTCATACCACTTTGAAATGGCTGTTGTATCAGTAGTGGTATAAGAACCTCAGGTTTGGAATGCACTTCTTGAGTTATTTTATAATAGGCTTGTATACATGTTTTTTTAAAGGACTCTAGTAACATAAAATTGTGTCAACTGGAAAATAGCTAAAATAAATTTGCTTTTATAAGCTTATTTTCCTGATTGTTTTTGGAGGTTTTGTAAAAAAAAAGTGTATTTCAGTCTTCATCAGATAAAAAAAAACACCTTAGTAATTTACCTGTAGTAATGCACTTTGGTCTACAATTGTTTAACTTTGATGATTCTCTTATCTGTATAATTAACTATTTGGACTGAAGTATCAAAGGATATTGAACGAGAATTCCAACCCTGACTCAGCAGCAAACAGCATGGAATAATTCTCCAAAGGAGCTTTGAAACATGTTTTATCAGGCAGATGTATATCATTTAGTGGAAGTCACTATAAACTCTCCAGCCAGTCTCTCAACACTTCTTGATTCGTTTTTTTTTAAATGTATTTGAATGAAACTTAATTAGGCCAGCTAATTCTTAAAAGGCTTGCAGAAAAAACTTGATAATTGTTTTGCTTTGATTATTAGAAACTGAACACTGCTGAAAATTCTAAAATAATGTATTTTTTTTTCACTGTGATCCCACAGAAAGGCTGTGTTTTATGAAACACCTAGGAATAGGCATAAATAGGAAACTCACAGGGAATCATTAGTGCAATAACATTCTCCATGTCCTTAACTTTCAGCATCTTTATAATTCCATTAAAGTCAAGGGACTCAGTCCTACAGGATAAAATATACTTGTATAAGCTCGAATAGCTTATATATAAGTGAGATGATGCCGAGTAAAACTAACTATAGCTTACGATGAACGAAAAGTACAAGTATGTGCAAAATTTGGAATCATTGAATCATAGAATTTTTTAGGTTGGAAAAGAACTTTAGATCATTCAGTACAACCATAAACCTAACACTGCCAAGTCCACCACTAAACCATGTCCCTAAGCACCACATCTACACGTCTTTCAAATACCTCCAGGGGTGGTGACTCAACCGCTTCCCCCAGCAGCCTGTTCCAATGCTTGACCACCCTTTCAGTGAAGAAATTTTTCTCAGTCTCCAGTCTAAACCTCCCTTGATGCAACTTGAGGCTATCTCCTCTTGCCCTATCACTTAATACTTGGGAGAAGAGACCGACCCCCACCTCGCTACAACCTCCTTTCAGGTAGTTGTAGAGAGCGATAAGGTCTCCCCTCAGCCCCCTTTTCTCCAGACTAAACAACCCCAGTTCCCTCAGCTGCTCCTCAGAAGACTTGTGCTCTAGACCCTTCACCAGCTTCATTGCCCTTCTCTGGACACGCTCCAGCACCTCAATGCCTTTCTTGTAGTGAGGGGCCCAAAACTGAATGCAGTATTCAAGGTGCGGCCTCACCGGTGTCGAGCACAGGGGGACGATCACTGCCCTAGTCCTGCTGGCCACGCTATTTCTGATACAAGCCAGGGTGCTGTTGGCCTTCTTGGCCACCTGGGCACACTACTGGCTCATATTCAGCTAGTTGTTGACCA